TCCCTCTCTCTCCACCCTGTCCCTGTGGAATTGTTAGTTCTCTTCCTCCTCCATTCTCTTTTCAAAACTCCAAATACCCGAATTCCAGTTTTTCATAAAGGAGAGCAGCATGTTGTGTATTTGAGAAAAAAAGTCCCAAAGATGATGCAGGATGAAAAAAATTCAAGCCTCCTGTGGCTTGTCAGAACACACTACACATCTCACGCCCCCCAGCCCCCTAGCCTGGTTTTAAAAGAGCCCTTAGAAGAGAAATACATTGCTGAATGTGGCGTCTGGGAGAATAACTAATCTCTCACGACGCCCGTTCAGGGGGAGTCCTCCTGATTGCCGACCCCACTGCTCCCCATAAATAACCAATGAAGAAGAGGCTAAGGGGCAGGGGTGGGGGGTGGCTCATGCTTAAGTAAGGACACAGGAAGCAAACAAGCCACATACAATTTCAGTCATACACCTTGAAAAGGGCACACTGATTTCTAAGAATCCTTGTCATTAAAAGCATTTTTGCAGTCAGGTCTATGAACAGTTTCTAGCATTTATATCATATGAAGCCACAGGAAAGACTTAAACCAAATTAAAAAAAATTAAAAATTAAAAGAGATCTGGAGCATTCCAGAAGGGAAGGAATGTCCCTCTGGATCTTTGGCACAGTGTAAATTTTTCATTTTTTTTTTTCATTTACATGCATTCAAACTGATGAGAACTATCTACTGCAAATCTGATGCTAATTTATAAATATAATGCCATAGTCTGGTACACATCCCAAAATCTCAGCCTCACTGAGGCCTCTTGGGAAAGGCTATTTTCCTTGTCAGACCAGGGGAATTCCAGAGTCATCATCATTATTAAATTAGGAGAGACTATTTCACTGAGCAGAGATCACATTAAGGAGAGTAGACAGTAGAGAAAGGGTCATGTTTTCTGTGTACTTGACCCTGACTTCAAGAAGACTATAATTTAAAGTGGTTTCTATAATTTAAAAATGATGAATGGTTCTGCAAAAATAATTTTCAATCCCAAATGCACAGGTTAATATACCTTGTATCAGCAACTAAAGATGTTAAAACAAACAAACAACAATAAAAATGGTTGAGCCGAAGTGCTTCGCTCTTAAGGATCCTAGTGAATTAGGGTGACTATGTCAAAAGATTTTACATCCCTATTCCTGAATAAATAGAAATAATGAGATCAATGTTAAGAATGAAATTGACAATGCCTATTAGGTTGATAAATACTAATTTCAATAAAAATCAACTGCAATTTAGTTTCCATTATTTGACTATAGTACCAAAAGGTTAAAAATTGCCATCCATCAAAAACACAGCGATCTTTGGACTTTAGAGCCTACGATTTTATTTTCAAGCAGAAGAGATGGATTGTGCTTCACTATCTCCACAGTCTTTCTTCTCAAGTATCTACTGGCCATACTGGAGATACGGCTGAGGCAGGGAGGGTATAGGATGCCTCCTGTGACCACAGGAACTGTTTGCCTGTGAGTGAGATGGAGGTGATTACAGGAATCTCAAGTTTTTTCTCATTAACATAAGTATTAAGCCAACTAATTTGCAAAACCTAACCAAAAAACTGGAGAAATAAGCACCCTCCCCCCAAGAAATTCACAAATTCCTTTGCGTCCTTCAGTTTTCACAGAGAACGCTGTATTGTGTGATTCACTCTTTGCAAAAGACACTGGGGATTGAAGAGAAACTAGTTTAGTATTGGCTTTGGTCAAAGCACTAAGAGACTAATGTGCCAGCTGGACTTCATGCCAGGCAAAGTATGTGTGTACTGACCTACAGTTGGGGTTAGAAACAACAAGTCCGGGCCGGCCCCGTGGCTTAGCGGTTAAGTGCACGCGCTCCGCTACTGGTGGCCCGGGTTCGGATCCCGGGAGCACACCGATGCACCGCTTCTCCGGCCATGCTGAGGCCATGCCCCACATACAGCAACTAGAAGGACGTGAAACTATGACATACAACTATCTACTGGGGCTTTGGGGAAAAAAAGGAGGAGGATTGGCAATAGATGTTAGCTCAGAGCTGGTCTTCCTCAGCAAAAAGAGGAGGATTAGCACGGATGTTAGCTCAGGGCTGATCTTCCTCAAAAAAACAAAACAAAAAAAAGAAACAACAAGTCCTGTGAGCTTGGGTTACAGGGGCTTTTAGAGGGCCTATTATTTAAGTGACTGGAAAAAGAAGTCATGGGGGAAGTGAAAATCGACGGTGTTAGAGTAATATCATCTCACACCTCATCACTCATGCTCCTGGAGAGGCTCAATTGAGGAGAGGGGTTTGGTTTTCTTTTTAGTATAAGTATATCCCAAATATTGCATGGGACATACTTACACTAAAAAGGGGGAAAATTGTTACTGTTAAAGAACTTGCAAAGTCAAAGAATTGTTGTTGCTAAGCAACCTTAGGAGTCAGAACCAAAGGAAAATACGGGAGCAGAGCTCCAGGGGATTCCAGGTGAGTCAGCAGTGCAGGATATTGAGAAGGTAGGGTTATTATTTTCAATTGAAGACAATGGAGAGTAAGGGAGGGTGGCAGATTAATACGGGCCCACATTATCTGCAGCTCCTTCCATGAAGCAGTGGGGTCTACTTTCCCATCCCTTGAGTTGGGGCTGGCTCTGTGACTTGTTTTAGCTAACCGAATGCCACCGAGATGATATAAAACTTTACACCCTGGCCCCAGGATGTCGAGAAGCTTCCATTCTCAGCTTTCTGGAATCCTAGGACCATCATGCTGTGAAGAAGCCTGGGATGCAAAACCAGGTGTAGAGACAGGCTCAGGTGTTCCGGCCATTCCAGCCAGCCCAGCTGAGAGTCCCAAACACATGAGATAGGCCATCTTAAATACAGACTCAGTCAAAACTGCAGCTCACAGCAGCCTCATGAAGGAGACCAAGTGGGACACCAACTGATAACTGATACAGATAGGATCTAGAACTGGGGGGAAACCTAGTTCTTCAGGAAAGGTAAAGAGAGAGGGAAGGAGAGAGGATTCCTGGATCGTGTCATTACTCAAAGAGATGGCCAATGTCTCACTTGACTCCGGAGTGGGTGTGCGGGTACTGAACAGCCTAAGGCATGCAAGCAAGCATTCAATCGCACTGGGTGAAGGGCAAACTAGAAAGAAAGGATTGAGAATGATGAAGAAGATAGCAACTAGGAGTACTTTAAACCTGAGCTAAAGGCAAATAAAGTGACAGTATATATCTAAAGCTCACCTGAACTTTGTGCAGTAGAAATCCTGAGATCTTTCTTATTAAGGGAAAAATAACCATAGAAGCTTTATGACTTTATGCATCATCTATGGGGCTGGGTTCTCACATTTGGTTCTGCCTCTAACACCTAAGATTTTTTTTGGTGGGGGGAGTGATGGGTGGAGGCAGCAAGCAGAAATTATGCCATCATTGTTTTTGCAAGTCTTGCCCAAAGAGGAATGCTTTAATTGCAAGGGGTAGAATGGTCAGGGGAGTAGGAGATGGAATGGTGCACAGCCCAGACATAGCACTAAGAATACAGCTTACCTACCTAGGCTTTCCAGGGCAGACAAGTTTGGGATTATCCAACCCAGTCTACAAGTGGGAAAGAAATCCTCTAATGACCACCATCCTACTTTAACACCCTTTCCTTTTCCTAAACCACTCTTTCCACCATACTCCAGGCCAAAGGTTCAAGCAAACTCTTCATGGTGAGAAGACATTGAAGAGAAAGCAAGGTGAGTCTAACGGGACTGACAGTCTAATACCTACCTCACAAGGTCCTTATAAAGATTAAATGATAAGATGTGTTTCGTATAAGATCTGGCATATAACATGTGCTTGATAAACGGTAGTAGTGTTATCTATTTGTGGCTTTACAATAGGACCTAAGACATCTATATACAACTATTTTAAATTTAATTATGCATATGATTATATTTTTTCTTTAGCCTTCAACTGCTTGAAAACAGTGACTGTATTTCATTTGTGTGTGTGTGCTGGTCTATAACAGGTAGTTCTTGATAGGCACTCCACAAATATTTGTGGAATGATTGAATGAATGAATGGAATAAGACATGTTTGCTGAATTGACTAAAAAGAAGAGCAAAAAGGAATGTGAATGCCTTCTAATATGCTTACTGTTTACAGCCTGAATGTGGATGCAAAGCCGGTAGGCCACAGGCTCACTGCTAGGGCTCACAGGACCTCTTCCCGGATCTCTGTCTACTTATACCCAGCAGAGCTAGAGACTATTTCACTCTTCCTTCAAAAACAGCCAAGCCAGGCAGATTTTTTCTCCTTTACTCCTCTTCTTTACTCTAGAAACACTATAGTAAGCATGGGAAGCTGAAAGTAATGGTCAAGATTTGGTATTCATCACGTGTGTTTATGCCTCTCAAGGGCTATTAGAGGAAGATGTTAAAACACATGCTACTTCCAACAAATGATCTAATACCAAATTAGACATCCAGTTTGGAAGCTGACTAGGGGATGAGCACGGCTTGCCACATAGGACACAAGAGTTACCAGATGTTTTCAAAAGGAATAAAGTGTGACTTGAGTTGAAAAGATGAATGACATTCAAACAGAAAAAAAACTAAGAAACTAGAAAGAAGGAAAAAAATATGCTCATTAATCCTGAATGATCAGCTATGAATGGATTAGGTATCTGGTCCCAATCGGTTAACTTCCCAAAACATAAATACTCTTCCCAAAACAATGAAGCTCTCATTATGCCAGGCTGCATTTGTTTTTGTCTTTTATTTTTTAACTAATCAACCCAAAAATACCCTACAAAGACCTTGATATAAAAATCACTTCTATTAATTGCTTGGTTAAGGTGATTCATATGTATCAGTGGTCTGCAATCTCAGCCGCCTCAAATAAGCAGGGAGAGTCAGTCTCTAAGCTGGAGAGCATTTCCACCACTCTGAAGATAGCCTGGATGAAAATCAACTTACAAAGTGTGATCTATTTCATGGATAAGTGATCCTTTGCTTACTGTGCCTACTCACCATGGTCAAGGATGTACTTCACAATCTCCCCGTTACCGGTTTTAGCTGCGTAGTGAAGGAGTGAACAGTGGTCTGGTCCCTGAATTAGCAGGCTGCCTCCGTTTTTATAGCTTTCTATTAGCTGAAAAAGAGACATATGAAAAGATACTCAGGCAGAGTCCGGAACAAGGAAAACAGCTAACCGGTGATAAAATAAGAGAAATGTAGCAAACCACAAATGTTTCCAGCCTCAGAGGACACAGAGAAAAGTCAGAGATGAAGTAACAATCCTGGATTGCTATCACTCAAATAGATGGCCAGAGTCTCACCTAACTCCAGAGAGGGTATGTGGGTATTGAACTGCCTAAGGAAACGGAAACACCCTGAATTACTCGTTTCTTTTCTGTTTTTTGTCTTCCCCTTTTCTTTTCTGGGCACTGGTCTCTGTCCCAAGGGAGTAAAGGGTAGAGAAGAGAACAAAGCTTCTTGATGTTGGCTCCGCATTCTCTTGAGTGAAAGAATAGTTAAGGCCACAGGCAGGAAGAGCTTAGTCTGGTAGCTAAGCTGCTTTCCTGTCCTTCAGTGTTTCTTTAATCTCTAATGAACCTCGCTATCAAATATAGAAGCTGCTTCCCACTTTCCTGCATGAGATACAGCATACACACGCACACACGTACGGCTCCCTTCTTCAGCCAGATCTGCAGCCCAGCCTGCGTGCCTTCTGTTAATCATCCAACACATACCCAACAAGGCCAGAGATGATCTAGAAGATGAGAACCAAAAGGATTCAGAGATGGTGGAAACCTAAAATACCAAAATACGAGAATAGACTGGAAAAAATTTTGCAGCCTGAGATTAAGGTGGCTAAATGAGGATATTGTCTAAGTTCATGAAATATTGAACATTACAGAAAGTGTAAATGGGTCCCTGTTCTCCTAACTTCAGTATATCAGAACAAGAATAGCCTTTGTGGAGCTTCTAAAAAGTAGTTCTAGGACAAATAAGAATCAAATAACCCAGCAGGTGATAAGCAAAAGGAATGTGTCTACCACCAAGAAGTTAGATGGCACATTATTAAAAAAGTCAAATATCTCCTAGGGTCAAAGAGTAAACTCATAGCTCATGCTTTCATTCAGATGCAACCAGGGAACTGCCATGTGCCAGATGCCAGGGAAACAAAGATGAATACAGTTCGGTCTCTGGCCTCAAAGACCTCACAGTCCATGGGGGAGACAGATGTGTAAAGAATTACACAGTAATGGAGAGGAACATAATGAGGTTACTGTAGGGCACTAGGAAGCATAAAGCAGAGGAGGGAAAGAGTCATGGAAGTCTTCCTAGGAAACAGATCAAAAAGGAGCCATTAAATGGAAGTAAGGAACACATGGGGACTTTTACCCCTAAACTGTCAGGCAATAGGACAGGAGGAAGAAGCTAATGGTTTTCCACAAAAATCTAAGAGATTCCTGTTCTGTTCAACTGTACTGTCTTACGATGATACTCCCTTTCTTTGTGGGCAGATCCACAAAGGATTGGGACTCAACAGAGCCACACAGACCCAAGCCATCAGCTGCCTTGACTCTGCCTGTCCGTGAGGTTTTTAGACTCTATGAACATGAAGTGAGTCCTTGGGCATCTTATGCAGCCCAGATGTGCAGGAGCTACTCACGACAGCCCTCACACTGGGGTGGCTCCTGGGTCTTCTGTTCTCTGCTCACTGGTCGTGTGCTCTCTCACGCTCTCTTGCTCCCTCTCTCTCTCTCCCTCTCAGCCACACACACACACACACACACACACACAACCAGTTTAATACTTAATATTTATTGTGCTTTCTACATGGAAGAGAGAAATGAAAGAAGATGGAGAAGAAGAAAGAAAAAGGGAAGAAAAATACTCGAGAAGGAAAAGGAAGAAAAAGCATGAAAAAGAAAAACTGAAGCCCCTATATTTCATCTCTCAGTAAATAAGGTGCTAAGTCATTCTTAGCCACTTAGGAAATAATTATAACAGAGCATATAATAAGATAATTGGCTGGATATAGCAATTTCCCATATCTCAAATAATTCTATATTAAGTACAAAAAAAGTGTGATAATATACTCAGGACCTGGAAAACCTGTTTCCTAGACTTAAAGCATATACAAAATAAAATGAAAAGGTTTCAAATGCACGGTAGTTTGCAACGTTTTCTGGCTTAGAAGGTCTGCAAGGGCAGGGATGAGGTCTTACTCATGTCTTTATTTCCCACAGAATCTAGAGTAAGGCCTTGCAGGGAGATCGGATAGTATCAGTTTAATCAACTGCTGGGAAATGGCATTGAACTCACAGGTGTAGTACTCAGAGAGCACTGTTCTCTGGTGGGTAACAATTCCTAGTAACTCTGTGATCCTGACAGTGGCACAGCCACCATTTCCAGGATTGTGAGTCTAAAGATGGCAGTTTATCAAGATTTCGGCAACCTTCTCTCCATTTATTTTCTACCAATAACCTGTTGAAAATGTGGCACAGAGGTTCCTCAGTTTATTCAACAGATATTCTTCAAAAGAAGTTGTGCACAAGGTCGTGCTTCTCAGCTTTAAGTCTTTTTGTTTCTCGATCTGCAATGGCACCATACTACATAGACTGATGAGTAAGACACAGCCTCTGCCCCTAGCCAGTTGCCAACATTATAGAGCAGATCAATGCCAGTGTGGGCTATATGGGGATATACAGGCAGTCAAAAGTCCCGATGCCTGAAAATGATATGGGACCAGATATAGCTTTTAGAATACTCATGGACTATATTATACTTTATAACAAATACGTATATCTCCACTATGTTTAGCTATTAAAAACACACAGACTAAAACCATAATGATAGTAACGAATAGCTAACACTTGAGAGCCCCTTATATGTAATGGGAACAGTCTCAAGACCTTTACATGTATTACTACATTCAATGCTCACAACAAACCAAGGAGAGAGGCAATATTATCATTCCATTTTACAGATGAAGAAACTGAGGCACAGAGAGAATTAAATAATTATACAAGTCATACATATAGTGAATGGCAGAGCCAAGATCTGAACCCAGGCAGTCCGACTTCAGTATTTACATTCACCCTAGAGGCAGCGACCACTTCCTTCCCTCTGAACTAAGTTCACCAGAAAATATAAGCACGAATTAAACTGTTCAAGGTGGATCAGATGGAGTATCTTCTTTGGTTAACTGTGATCTCCAAAGTACCAAAATGTAATGATGTTGCAAGATGTAGGGTCTGGCCTAGAGAATGCACATCTGGATGTTGTCCAGGTAATCCTTACAGATGCATTCATTTCAAGACCTGTCTGAAAGGAAATCTTTGAACTTTTCAAATATCAGCTTGTAGAGAGCAGGAACTCTGGGCACTGTGAGCACTACATCCTGAAAACATGTAGTCCATTTTAACCAGTCAAGGCCAATAGCATGGTGCCCTTGCACAAACTCTTTGCTGTTAGGAAATGTGGAGATGCTGTAAAGACTCCTCTCAACCTCTCTGCTCAATTCTCAAAAGAGCATCCTTCCTCTTTCTACTCAGCCAGCACAGGCAGGGAGATGATAAATGACATACGGGATCATGAAAATTTGGTGAGAAATGATGTTGATTTAAAGCTCTTGAAGAATCACCAAAAGTTTTGGTAGGAAGATATCTTACCTTCATAAGATCACCAGCTATTACTGCCTGCAAAATTGCTGTGAAAGACAAAAGAGAGATGTCCCATTAGTAGAAGACCCTCTCATTCAAATATTACAAAGGGCTGGATCCATATTTTGGAGAAATAGTCTACACACGGGGCAGGAACCGGGGAAGGAGAAGCATGCCAAAGGTTGAATCATGGTAAACACTCTAAGGCCTCCTCTTCAGCCCTGCCCTACCCAGGCGCCCATCCCATTCATCATTCTAGAGTCTTCCTGAGCCCCCTCTAGCCCTGGTACAGCAAAGTGAACAAGAAATTTGGAGTCACACAGATTGGGTTCAAATCTTAGCTCTGACACAAGCTGTGGAACACTGGGCAAATCATTCAACCTCTCTGAGCCTCAGTTTCCACATCTGTAAAACAGCAAGTCTACATCTATATGATTGTTGAAAGGATTAATTAAATCATATAAATGTTCCTAACTCATGCACTAATGTAGAGTAGATGCCTAATTATGGTTGTTCTTGCTCCTTTCTTGCCAGTTTCTTCTACTTTATCCTCTTGGAGTTCAAGAAATCACCAGTAATTTTGTTTGTGTGCTTTGTAAGGATAAATAAATACCCACTGCTATGGAAATGAAGAGGACCAGAGACAGTAAAGAGGAAACAAGTATATTTTAATTATATTCTTAAGAAAATAACCATGTGTTTAGCATCTAATTCATTGGTGACTTTTATGGAAGGAACTCTAAAAGTCTTAGGTAACCTAAACTAATTGTAAGAATAGGTAGCCTTAGAGAAAGAAAATAGAAGTGCATGTGCATGTCATGTAGGGTGTAGAAGAATGAGAAAATATGACTGATAAAATGGGAAAAGGCTATACGAGTGTCTAATGCAATTATGATTCCTAAAGGGAACATTTGCCTTAGAGTATAAATTGTCCCATTAGAAAAATAAACCCCTGGAATCTAAAACTATTCAAAAAGCAGATTATATTAAGGTTTTAATGTCACAAACATTTGGAAGAAAATAATCTAAATTTATTTTTCAAAGTGTCATTTTATTCTTCCTGTTTGAGTAGTGTCTCATTTTCAGTTATCCAAAAACGCAGTCTCATGCATCAAAGTACCTGGAGCCCCTGGCTGTCACCGAGCAAAGCCCTCAAAGCTTTTATACTGAGCATTTACGAGTCCTGGGTGACCAGACGCAAAGGACCACAGGCATGTTAAACTCGTTCACTGGCCCAGGGCTGAGTGCCTTCCCTCTGACAAAGCAGAGGCCTTGAAATCTGTGGAAATGAGGAGGGCCGCTTGAGCAGGAGAGGAAGAAAGATGCAGGAAGAAGAAACGAATGGAGAAAAAAGGTGAACAGGAAAGAGAGGGAAGACTGTTTCCTTTCCTTAACAAGCTGTGAGCAATATACTCTTTTCGTCTCCCTATGGCTCCTCACCCAGTGCTTGGCACATTGTCAATGCACAATAATTAGTTGTTGAACTGATTGAAAAGAAAGCAAAAAAAGAAGAGAAATGAGAAGAGGAGAGAGATAAAAATAACAGAAAGGGAAGTAATAAAATGTTATGTGTCAAAAGAACCTAGGAAGACACGTGACTCATTCTTCATATTATAGATGGGGACACTGGGGTTTAGAGTAAAGTCACTCTCTTGGGGCACAGACAGTAGTGGCCCAATCATCACCATAATGCAGGTCCCTGTGTCCAGTCCAAGTCTCTGTCCAGTGCCCTCTGTGAACTGACCACGCAGAGCTCTACTAGGCTCCGTGAGGACTACAGAAAATGGAAGAAAAGTCTTTATAGGTTATCAGGTTTACAGTGTGAAAAGGAATGGGATTGGAGTCTAATTCTTTTTTTTTGCTGAGGAAGATTCATCCTGAGCTAACATCTGTTGCCAATCTTCCTCTTTTTGTATGTGAGCTGCTGCCACAGCATGGCCACTGATGAGTGGTGTAGGTCCACACCCAGGACCAAACCTGGGCTGCCAAAGCGGAGCATGCTGAACTTAACCACTAGGCCACAGGGGCTGGCCCAGAGTCTAATTCTAATCTCTGTAATTTACTAGACACATAAATTTAAGAAGTTATTCAATCCTTTTGAGCCAATGTTCTTATTTGTAAAATAAGATGAATAGCGCCCTGCTCACCTCTCTGAAATGAGGATGAAACCAAAAAAGTGCTTGATAAATAGATGTTCTATTAACAGAAGGGGTAGTTTTCAGTACTTTTGTGACTGTACATAAATACATGAAAAAGACATATGGACACTTCAGCAGGAGCCCAGCCATAAGGGTAAAATTGGTGTGTGAAGTCCAATAGACAACTCTCTGTTAACATAGCACCCATCAGATGAGGGGCATGGATGAAGGAGCCAACGGGATGGCGCTAAATCACAAGATGTAAACCTTACCTCAGAGGACGGGAGGGAGAGGCAGGAGAAAGTATTAGCAATCACAGGTCTGGGAAAACAATCAGTTTGGACTTTCATAATACAAGATGTTCTCTTGACTGAGGTAGAATATCCACATTAGGAAAGGAATAAAATTAGGGAAATTGCCCGAGGGGGCAGCTAATGAAAGCCTTAAACACATACAGAAGTTCAAAACAATATAGAACCTATGTTTTCAAGATCATATTGAAACATTTCCCAGAAATTCAAAGGAAAAAAAAAAGAGAGAAATAGAAAAAGCATCAAGGAGAGAGAACAGAAAAACGAATTCATTAATTGAAAGCACTTGTGTAATAAAATTTGGTGCATGTAAGCAATAAATCAAGACGATGAAAAAATTCCCCAGGACAAAGCCTATTTAAGGACAACTAAAAATAAATGCATGAATGAATGATTAAATGAGAGACCGGGAAAAAAACATATTGGCTAGCTGTGGAGTTCAAAGAAGCTTTCTTGTAGGAGGTGAGGTTTAAGCTGACTCCTCCATGATAAGTGGATTTAATTAGCAAAGACGACTAGGAAAACCTTTACAAGATGAAGGGAGGATATGAGCAAAGACATGGAAGAGTCCTGTTGTCTGACGGACCTGCAAAGAGCTCTACATCATCGATTCTGAGGTGGAGGGTAGCCTCAGTAACACACTACAGAGTTCCACACGGACCACTTCAGTGGACACCTCTTGCGTCAAGATAAGACACTTGGATTTTATCCTGCAGGTAATGAGAAGCTATCGAAGAGTTAAAAGTAAATAAGAGGACCATATAAATGTCCTTAAGCATGCCAGTTTGATTCTTCCCTCCCCTCCTGGAAACAAAGTTATGACCTGCTCTCGGCTCATTTTCTCCAGATTGCCCATATTATAGCGGCTTTCAATTTCTACCTCAGACTCATTCCACAAGCATTTTTATCTATGTTTGGTGGTTTCTAACAGCCTCCTAGTTTACAGTCCTCATGAACAGGTAGAAAATCCTGTAGCAGAATCATAAGCACAAATAATTTCCAATTGTACTGGAGGTGGAAAGCATGAATATTTATTTTCAAGTCAAGCAACACACCCAAGGGTAGCTGTTATGCAAAATTATTAGGCACAAGGCCCACTTCTCTCTCCTGATTAATGTCCTTCCCTATGAACACTGTTTAGTTTCCTCTGCAGAGAGAGCCTGAATCCATTAGTATTCAACTCTAAGTAATAACATTCTGAAAGATCAAGCTTAAAAACAAATAATGAGTTGTTATGATTACAGTATTATTCTTTATTATTTCTTAAGCTCTCAGCTTGCCTTCTTGCGTTTTCCAAAACTCCTTCATACTGAGGAAACAATGCTCCCAAATTCAAAGAAGCAAGGGAAGTCAAACTGTCAATGGACATAAAGGTCACTGGCTAGATTAATACTAAGTTTCCTGGACAATTAAATCACAAACTTATGTAGTTAGACAGGAAAGTAAGAGGGTAGAGAACTGAGAGGTTTGCCATTTTTAGAGGTTAGAAGCTGAATCATTAGTTCACATGAAATGGTTTATCTTTCCTTCAGTGCTAGGCCTTCCAATAAATCACTATCCAGTAAACATCCCAAGACAAAAAGCTGGAACTGAGAAGTCAGGAAGGCCAGGAAGGAGTCACTGCCTTCTTTCCCACAGTCTCTCTTTCTTAGGCCTGGATTCCCAAGAGTCCAGACGTCCTCAGACGTCCTCAGACATCCGCACATGAAGGAAAAGATGGCTCCTGTCACCTGGAATTAGGAAAGGGAGAAAACGGTCCATGGGCCACTGGCTGGCCCACCTGCTCCTGCCATTCCAGGCCCTGTTCAAGGTTGCGGAGATGTAACCACACAAAACAAATTCCATCCTCTCAGGGAGCTGACGTTTTGGCAAGAAGTCCAAATTAGGAAGGGATATATTGTAATTGAGTCCAGAATCAGACTGCCTGAGTCTAAGTCCTGTGAGCACCACTAACTAGCTGTAACCTTGGGCAAGTTACTTTACAAAGCTTTAGTTCTCTCATTAGGAAAATGAAGATTAAATCAGTTCTTTTATGACTCTGCCTTGCAAATAAGCTCAAGAAACAGAGACTCTGACCATTATGGTCTTCTGTGTAGAATATCATGGAATACTGATGTTTTTAACCCCATTACACTGAAAAAGAACCATTTCTCATCTATGAAATGAGAGTTAGACTAAGGATAATTACAACTCTAGAATTTGGTATACAACTACTTCTGAAGGGATAGTTTCAGTTGTGATTCTTGCTTTGCAGATAAAAATATTTAAGAATAGGAGGCTGGTCCTGTGGCTTAGCCATTAAGTTTGACATGCTCCACTTTGGCAGCCCGGGTTTGGTTCCCGGGTGTGGACCTACACCACTCGTCAGCAGCCATGCTCTTGGTGGTGACCCACATACAAAATAGAGGAAGATGGCACAGATGTCAGCTCAGGGTGAATCTTCCTCAGCAAAAAAAAAAATAAAAAATTAAGAATAAAAAGTATACAGAACTTGGCAAAGCCACATATATGTTTGTAATTCTCAACAAGTCAACTAAAACAACTACATTATTATATACAAAATAGTGTCACAACTCTGAGTACTTATGTCTATTAAAA